TGTCATTTGGCGAAGTAGTTATGTGTGAAAAATAAGTGAGAGCTTTAAGACAATCTTACTGAGGGTTCCTGCAGCAAAACCTAAATTATGGTCTTATATATTATTAAGTAACAGCATAGGTAACGTCCGTTATTTTTTTCGGTAACTGTAACGGCAATCGTTACATTTTTTTGTAACGTAGGGCGGTAACGCGTTCTTTTTTTTTTGTTGGTGTAACGAGTAACATATTAAGTTACTTTTATTGGTAACAGATAGAACACTACTTCCTAGTTAGACAATGTTAGAAAAAATTTCTGACGGGCCTTACTTCAATAGGTACGTCTTCTGCGTTTGAAATTTGTGATGCAAGAGGCGAAGAAAACCGCGAAGCCAGCACGCAAGAAGCGCGTGCAGCGGTAGGATGTGTTATGAATAAGAGGAATAATCTGATTGCACTGAATAGAGAACAATTTTATGTGATGCTGACATATCTGTATTTACAAGAATTTCAGCTTTTTGTGTAGAGAAGATTTTTTTTCATTACATAAGCGTTAAAGAGAGAGAGAGAGCTTATCATCATACGCGAGTGTATGGCATAAACAAAACTCCATCGGTAGCATCTTTGTATCTCGTGGGCTTCGGCCTAAGTTTGCTGGGATATATTACTGTCAACAAACCGACCACCTGCTGCAAAGTGCAACGTGCCATGGTGGTCTAGTGGTGAAGGTGCTCGACTCATTTCTCAGGTGGTCGAAATTTACGAAACCCTCCACTGTGGCGTCTCCCATAATCACATCATAATTTTGGGACTCAAACATTCGGATATTACCATTATTGTTTTGTTGTCAAGTGGAATTCCCAAAATTTTGTGCCACGTAATGAGACACAATCTTGCACGTGGCGAAATAGACGGCTCGTAAACGCTCGAAAGGTCCTGGCGACAGCAACTCTTACAGGGGTAGCTCCCGCAATTGGATCATTCAATTCATTCTCCATGTCTGCCTCCAGGAAGAAATATACCGAGACAGTAATGTTACTTATTACGTGATTCGGGTATGAGCATAGGTGTCCACTAAGGGTATTGTCGAGACACCACCGATGAGCACACAAACATTAGTTTTAAACATGCAAATTAAATGTGGTATTTTTGTAGAGCAAAATTGTATAGCAAAAAGCAGCTCCTCATTGATTTGACAGCTGTGGTGGCAAAAGCGTCCCTGGTCGGCGCACTGGTTCTTCGAGCAGGATTTTGTATATCGTAGGGAAACATTATTCTGCAGTGCCACTATGAATAAATGGGAAAACCTGCACGAAAGCAGCCACGTTTTTCACGCTAGTGAGTGCCTTGTTGCCCGTCGCCAGAACACTGACGGCAACTGCGTGCGTCCGATGCGTGTAATGCAAGACGCTTGCTTCATAACTGTCGCCGTAAGCTGTCATTTTTTGACTTACAATCATATTGCTCCGTGCCCAATACCCGAGTTCTTGCAAAATATTTTGTCGATATTTAGAAATATCGGTGGCTCCACAATAATTTTCAGTGGAAATCATCGGAAGTAGCCGGTGGAGCGCTCATTTGTTGGGGCTTGGTGCCACGGCAATTCTCAGCCACGCAAATTGTTTTGCTTCAAAGTGTCGCCGCATCATCTTCGCTCATCATGATCATGCTCTTTACCTCCCCGCTCACACAGATACGCCAAGAGCTTGAGGCGCGGGCTATAAAGAGAACCCACTACGATTTCGGCCAGAGAAGACGCCGCAGCCCCATTTCGTCTTTCGCTTCACTTTGTGAAGGGGCGATTACTTCGGCCACGGTCCCGTTAGCCACAGTGGCATCTCATAAACGACAACCTCTTGCGCTGTTGTGTTGCTTTGCGAAACGCACACCCGCCGCTACAGCAATAGCAAAACTTCGTTTTTAACCTTGTATTTGTGCTACTCTTAACCCTGAAAATATTATTCCTAACATACAGATTTTTTATCAATCGAAATAAAAGACTTCTGGATGAACCACTCCAAAGGATGAGATTCAATTTATCAATTCCGGAGTTTCCTTCCTTTAGGGCTAAAGCACTAGGTTTTAGGCGATGGTGCGTTTGCGATTATGAATGCTATTTACTAAGTGAGGCGGAACGAATCGAATGCTTAAGTTATATGAAATACACTTATTCTTTACTAACGTTAGGGTTTCTTGCCTGAAATAAGCTAATTACTTTCTTCGCAAACAATTTATTCCTAAATATTTTCAGATTAGCAACACATAACAAGACAACGCCAAATTCAAGGCCCATTGCTCGTGGTGGATTGCGCCAGCTTATCAAGTGTGAACCAACCTATCATTGTTTTAGCTTGATGCTACCGCGTTTGCATAGTGCTCCTGGGTGGCTAGTTGTGTTCACAGTAATATCCTACGTAATTCAGTTCGCCTTTTAGCTGATAATCTAATCAAGCCAGCAAAGCACTAAATCACCTCGCTCTGCATTCCTATATACTGCAAAAGGTATACGGTGAGTTATAAATTAAAAGGTATACGGTGAGTTACGGTGAATTAAACTGTCTTGCAAAACTTTCGTTTCCCACGAGCTTTATGTCTGCCGAAATATCATAGAATAACGCTGCAGCTGCAGAAGTGGTGTCTGAGACCAATTCAAGCATGCAGCGTCTGAACGAGAGATGGCAGAGGGAACAAAAACCAAACACTTTTTACATCTCACAGCCGAAAGCCACTTATATTGCTTGCTAATAAAGCAGGGACGAGTCGAACAACTGTAAAACGTCCTTCGCGCAGGACGCAACATGTACCTTTTGGTGCATCTACTACGCAACAGTTCATAATTCCGATAATCTATATGCTAGCGGGCGTTGGGAGCGCGTTTGGTTCTGCTCGGGCTTTCAACGGCTGTCCGCTCTAACAGGCGCGAGGCAGCGCACCAGTCACCATGCTGCTCGGAGTGTATAGTACTGCATTGGCAAACCAGGTACAGTACTTTGCCGCTGCCTTCGACAAGAATCCAATGAGCCATCGGCCCTCAGTCCCCACCAGATGCAAATAAACTGACCAAGGCAGTGGTGAGACCGGCCACGCAGCGGAGATTGCTAAGAATATCTGGGTCCGGGCAGGCCATTATTAGAATCAGAACATGGCTGCCTTTAATGCTAGAAATTCATCTAGTGAGGTGGGTCCAGCTGCTCTATTCCAGGAATTAGAGGGTGTAAAATCGGACGTGTTACGGCTTAGCGAAGTTAGGGAAATATTTGAGGCTTATATACTGCTGAAGGATCGGCACGTTCTGTGCTATCGTGGCTTAGCTGACAGGCGAGAACTAAGGCTGGGGTTCTTTATTGATAAAATATAGCCGGTAACATAGAGCATGACTATATAATTAATGAGAAGGTAGCAAGTATCGTTATTAGGTTTTTAAGGAGCTACAAGAAGAAAGTAGTACAGGCCCATTCGTTTACATCCACCCTTGATGACAGTCTTTTTGAACGCTTCTACGAAGATGTAAAATCACCAGTGAGTAGCGCAAAGCCACAGTATACTGTACTGATGAGTGACTTGAATAGTGAAGAATTCAAGAAGCAGGCTGTAGACCATACAGGGGGGGATGACATCACTTCTAGAAAATCCGGAGGAGAGTTACTGGTAGACTTCGCAAAACGTGATTATTTTACATATTTTGAATACCTTCTAAATAAAACGGCCTAGCCGTGAGTGGACGTGTGAGAATCCTATTGGAAAAACTGAAAAATTAAATGGACTCCATTTTGTGTGCCCACTCGCGCCTTGTGCGGAATACGCAATTAGTTCGCAAGGTCCAATGCAGGGATCATTGAATGGTGAGGCCTTGAATTAACGTCGACTTGAGGAAGGATTTGCATAAGCTGATACGCAAAAAACCAAGTAATGAGCTAGAGCTGACATGGAAAGCACAGGAGTTCAGCCTCTCTTCAGAATAAATTCATAGCTCAAATGGAGAAAGCTGAAGTTAGCTTTGTTGCAAAGAACCATGTTCTAGCTAGTATCAAAATAATGTGTGGAAAAGAGGTGATGTGTACCGTAATTAGACAGTACTCTGGCAAGCTTGCCAGAAGAAAACCCTATTAAGACACGCCGAACCATAAACTCCTCAAATTCAACAGACAAAATAGAGCTAGTGGGATTTTTAGGAAAATAATAGGCGTAAGGTATCCGACATAAAACGGTATAACCTTTAGAGAATTTAGCACGCCGTAAAGAACTGAAGGAGACTTGAAGCTCTGATGGCAAAACTACGCATAGGCTAAATTCAGATGAATGACGTAGGGGACAAGGAAGCCGAGGTCACTGCGATAAAAGTGTTGCCTATGCTGCCCATTTGTAAGGGGTCGTGGTCCCAGTCAAGCCCATTAGAGGCTTTTTGACCACGGCCCTCAGCATCCCGAATGTTGAAATAAATAAAGTTCAAAGTTCAAAGTTCAAAGGTGATCACCAATATGGAGAAGATAATTGAGGTAGCGGAGTAGTTCTACAGATCTATACAGCAGGCGATACAACGAGGATGATATTTTAAGAAACGGAAATAGCCCAGAGAAATTTTACATGCCACGAGTAACAAGAGGGGAAGTAATGAAAGCCTTAGAGGGAATGTAATGATGTAAAGCCACTGCTGAAGGTACGGTAACATAAAATCTGGTAAATAATAATGAAGAGATTGTGTTACGAAAATACTCCGCACTGTATACAAAGTGTCTCTTAACGGAGAGATTACCGGATTCTTTAAAGAATGCCAACATCTCCTTAATCCATAAAAAGGGAATGTAAAGCACGCGCGCATCATCAGTTTATCTTAAATTTCCCTGCCAACGTGTTTCACGGACTGGAAAATGACAAAAGCTATAACGAGACATAACTATAAACGGAGAATATCATGTATGCTCGACAATAGCTTACTATCCAATTAAAAGGCTGCATCTCCTATGCACTTTCAACAGTGACCTAAAACAAGGAAGATAAAAATATTAAGATGCATCATACTCACGCCTCAATGCCCATGGTTTTAACTCTTGAAGAGCTTGCGTAAACTTGATTATGCCTATGACGCATTCACTAGATACGTCAGCATGGAACAACTTCCGTAGAAATCCACTGCCGGCTTGAGACATGAGCTTCTTGATTGTGCTTTTCAAAGTGCTGAAGAATGTTGTATTTCTCGGTGGCCTGGTAGTCTCTTGTAGCACCAACGACGTTGCCACAGGCTGCCCAGAGTGGTTCCTCCACCATGTGTTCACTTCGGCGGTGCTAGAGAATTCCGTTACATTAAAAGGGACACTTGTTGTAGAAGGCGCAGGATGCATCGATGCAGTCTTCGCTTGGCTAGCAGAAGTCATCGTAATTTTAAAAAACGTTTCCGTAAAAATAGATTCATTTGTGCTTTCTTCCGCCACTTCCACAGCCGCGGTTGAAGACACTTCATTATCTGGCTTAGTATAATTACCTTTATAAGTAAACGGGAGTTCTTCATCTGTCAGTCTCAAATGAGGGTCCATTCGCACTGTTGTGTGCAATCCGGCACTGTTCGACTGCACACCCGAGTGGTTCTTCTGTTGTTTCCACAAGTCATCGGCAGGTTGTGCATCACACACAGAGACTAACCAAAGTGAGAAACTGCAGAAGCAAAAACCAAGGGGAAGCTTGGATAAGTATTTCATTTCGTTGCCAGAATCAGCCCAAGCTTTGAAAAAACCTGCTTGCTCATGAGGCTCCTTCTGATACGAGTAATGTGGCCTATAGGCTGAACCGCACAGATTAAAAAAAATGCAGTTAGACCAGTAAGACCTTCGGATTGGTTGAGTAGTGCACAAAACCGTTTTTTTACACAGCTTTGGTTATATAGGCCACTTAGCTGCGAAAAGAAACGTCTGAGGCATCACAGACTGCGAGCTGGCTCTCGGAGAAAGTTATGGCACTGAACAACGCTAACAGGTTGACACCAGAAAAATTCCAGCTAGGACTTTGTCGGTATTTATGGTAATCTTGACAAGTGAACTAGTGCGTATTGCCGCTTAGAATACTGGTTCATGAATCGAGTGCGAGTCACCTTAAGAGCGACAATATGCCGCAATAGGTTATTTTTTTCTTCGCTCATCTACGCTGCCTGCGTCGAAAATGTGTACGCCGGTGGTTGCAAAACGTGGACTTGAGTCCTTGCATAATGTAAAGGTAATGTCAACAGAAAGCAATGATTAAAATTTGCGTACCTTGAACTAAGCCGTGCAGGCATGGTTGACGACAGATCTGGCGGATATCTAACTGGTCCTGACTTTCCTGGGCTTTTACTCTCTCTGCTTTCTTTCCCAGTCTTGCTATTCTATACGATACAAGGCTATAAGGAGCGCCCTTTTAAGCTTCTGTTTTTTTTACTATCCTCACAGGATGCTTGGGTGGCAAGTGAGAGCATGCCGGTTCATTTGCTGTTACTTTTCTGTCTGCGGTGAACGGCCAACCTCGAACATTAAACACGGATTTTCAAACGAAGGTGTACTGATACAATGTGCATCCACCACTTTGCCCGTCGGTTTAAACGTTCTAGAGTTAACACGATTGTTATAGCACAAGCCCAGAACGACTACGAAGGGAAAAGAAAATGAGCACCTTCTCGTCATTCTGAGCTCACGCTATAACTATCTTCAGAACCTACGAACTGGCCAAAACCACCGTGATTTTTTGCTAAATATAAAAACTCCTTTAACAGATAATCAAGCGCGGCGTCTGTTTCGGTGTCGTTCAAGCTAAGCGAGTAATCACCCTCGCCTGTGAGCGGAAGTTCGAGGTAGGTGCTAGTAAGTAATAATTTTTTTGTTGGACCAGCGAATGAACCCATGCTTTCTGTAACAACCAACTGTTTAGCGTCAGAGCCACGGCGGGGCTCTAAACACCTTAGAAAATAAACGTATATGAATGACATGTATTGCAAGGGGTCTTCTTAAAGCATGTAATATTGCATGAAAGAAGTGTAGAATTGCATCAGGCATTAAGGCATTTGACTTGTACAGTGAGTGCGGCGTTTATAAGCCTGCCCATAGCAATTGATAAGCATGTTCAACATCATCAACAAATGCATGAACAAAGTGAAGAACTACGTAGGTTGTTGCCTTACGGACGTAAAGTGCGCACTTCTCAACTGTGCTTGCAGTAAACATTTTAGGATACTTTGAAATGGCTAGCTTTACGCGTATGGACGTTCCTTCTTTTCGGCCCGTTACATGCATCCTCCCAAAAGCGAAGCGAGACTACCGATTGAGGAGTTGATGCGAACGGTGCACGAATGCGCTATCGCGTTATACTCTTGAAGCGAAGCTTGGGTGTCCCTCAACAATTAGTGGAATGAAATTAAAAATACATGTCGAATTTCTTTATCCAAATACCTGCATCATGGTAAAAACTTAGATATTTTTACTCGAATTTCGTAAACCCATCTTATAAATTTAGCATAGGATATGGCCACGTAAGAGTCAACACCAACATCTTCAGATTTATTTATTTTTATTGCAATGAGAATCAAGCACTTGAAACAAGTGAACCAGCAACAAAGACCATCATGATGCCTGTGGGGGGAAGGAGGGGGGGCAACGCGGCCCGGCAACCTTTAAAACGCGCGCCCCCGTCATGCCATCTCGCTACTGATGACGAAAACGCGCTGAAATTGCCGAGCTTTGAGGACTGCCGGTAGTAAAAGGTGTACATAAATGATCACCGTTAGCATGATGGAGTGCTCTGTGGCGTAGTGGTTTATGTCGCGCACTGAGGAGCGTGAGTTCACTGGTTCGGCACACCACAGCGGAAATTTTCGTTCTCCCTTATCTTTGCTATCTGATAATAAATATTTTACATTGTCATATCTATAACAGAAATACGTCACGGAACTGTGGTGGACACCCGGCATAAAACACTCTCGTGTTTAAAAACGTCACAAATGCGTAGTGGATCCAGCAAACAATGTCAAAGTTTCTTCTGCGATAAAATTTCATTGGTAGAAAAGGGAAGGGTGACGATTTGTCGCCTACCAGCTTCAAAGAAATAATAATGTAGGTAATTGGACATCAAATTGAATTTATTTTTGAAGGCAAGCGCGATAGAAAAAGTTTTCTTATCTAGAAAAAAAACAAAAAAGAGATTTTCGCGTGGTAGAAAGTGAGTTGTGAAAGGTGCCATACAGAAAGAATATGGCAAAATTTGAATATGATTTTAATTGCCGTACCAAAAAGAGGCGCAACGTCCCTGGAACACTACTTCAACATGATAAAACGTGATCACTAATTTAATTAGGCATCTCTGCACACTAGCGCGAATCCGTAAATGCAACCAGGAATTCTGAACATTAAAAAAAATTTCAGTTGCCATTTCTTGGCTCTAAAAGCAGGCTAAGGGTACCTGACCAAAGCAATGGGCTGCCGGGCATCTTTTTTTTGGGGGGGGGGGGAGGGGGGAGGAGGAGTGCGTTGGTGTATTCACGAGTGAATTTTATCATCGACTCAATTATATAATACTCTTGCATGTTTGCAATGACATTGTAGAGGTGGATGTAACCTGGCCAATATAAAAGTGGCTTTAGAATATTTTGTTTTTTTCAACAGCGGTGCATAACTGGAGTTTTGCATTGCTTTACGGGCCTAGTATCGAAAGTCTGACTTTTTTATATCCCTCAAATAAGCTCGCTGATTAGTTCACACGACTAAGGCGATCTCAATTTGCAAATATCAAAGCTATGCGTGTCATCATTACAGTTTATTTTGAATAAAATAATTCTCACGCCTCTCTAGAGTGACTATCATCGACTGCGAAGTGATTTGATGGTGTTCAATGAAAGTTCACTATGCAAACATACCATTACGTCGCCCCTACTTTGTCGACTGGCCATCTGCACTACAAAATAATGCCTTGGCCGTCTGGCGGTGTAGTTTTTGCCGCGCATTCTGCAGTTTTCATGTCCCTGTGCTACTCTTGGCTGTTTCTGCAGCAGCCTGAACTACAGGGACAGCATGTATCATCTCAACGAAAGCCTCTGAGATCAAGAAGCATTTATTGCTAGATAAGGGCGCATGCCAGGTATGAAGGCATATTCCTTACCTTGCTACTTACTCGCAGACGTCGCATGGCACTTCCTCAGCGTGCCGCCCTGACAGAAGTGACACATAGAGAAGCCTTGCTCAATCGTTCGTAGCGCGCCGATGACGTAATGGCTGACGTGGATGTAACGTTCCGAAATGGGTGTATTCAAGGCTGGACGAAAAATTGGAACATCTGAAATGGAGTGTTATATAGACGTTTTTATTTTTCGTGGGTGCTGCCATCTTGCTAGCGGGCGGTCCTTTTCTTGTCTGGCAACTCATGTGTCATGCGGGAAGCTGATTGTTCGCATAGAAACAAGCGGGCGAATGCAGTTGGCTCGTTCTTTTGTAGTTTTTACGCAGTGAATTTCGACTGACGTGATGCAGGTTCTTCAGAAAATGAGTCTATGATATGTTCTGACGAAGTTGAAGTCGTTCAGGGTCAATCATTTTATGACACTGTGCCGCGAATGAGCCCGCCTCTGTTGATGCAGTATATTCACAACACCGACATTCTGCTCAAAAATTGCGCAGTGTTTCGCGTATTTCTTTTCCAGAATGAGCGAAAAACTTCGAGAGCATAGTGATTATCTTTTATGAGCTGTAGTCATCCGCTTTGCTAACAATATTTCTTTACGCCATGCCGCCGCAAGACAAAAAGACAAAGAGAGAGAAGATATGAAGAAAGGCAGGGATTTGTGCGTTGGAGTGTAGTAGTTCGTCTTTATTTCGTGGCACGGACTATTTTTGTTAACTGCGCACTAACTACTGTCTCAGTTGTTTCTCAACTCTGAACAAATGACCGTATCTTACTCGCTTCTTTGTTTTTACTAGTGTGCACTTGAATATAGCTCTTACATTAAACGATGCTGACGTGCCTGCGCGTCCCATTTTTATATTCTTTTTTTAATCGCGATGAATGAGTGACTCTCGGTGACATGGTGCTTTGACCTGCCATAGAAAGAATTGTCACGCGGGGCCGTTTAACGAGAAATTATGTAATTCTTTGAATAGCTGCATAGGCTGCGTACCTTCCGTTCATAGGCGAGGTAGAGCATCGTTGTCGTAATTGTTGCAGTTAGTTCGCCTGATAAAAAGTGCTCTTAACATACCCGAATACCCGCAGAAAGTACAAAGTGTTCCTGAATAGGTTTGCAAGCCATTTAAAGCCGCTGCTGCTTGTCAACATGAAAACAATGCAACTTGAATAGCCCACAGCCACAAAAACTCGGCGTCTGGTGATGCACAAGACATGTTCCTACTGACAGCAGTTATTTTTTTCTCTAGTTGGTACTGCACCCAAAAACAGTGCAGTGATTTCCTGATTACCAATTTTTGGCCGTCATAGCAATGAAGAAAAACGAAATCCGCAGGCTGGCTTAATACACAGCGAATTGCTCGATAACGCCACACATACCAGCATCAACACAACCACTTCAAGTCGTCGTCCGCATGCCACAGAGGAGGATTGCGTTGGTTGCCAGACCAGACCTCCTCACCCGATGCAAAAGTCTATACACCGTATTTTGTTTATTAGAGCACTTGTCGACTAAATTCTCGTCGAAGCAAGTTAATATCGCCCAAGAACACAGTTTTCTCTTCATCCTAAATTTCACTTTGCAAGGTTATTTACTGGCACATAACTCGGTGCTCAATACTGGGACACATTCATTTTTTCTCACTTCCATGTCACTCATGAGCGTAAGTCAGCGAAAACTGAGAAACTCACTCAGACTCACTCATTAAATATGATTTGCTCCTAATAACCTGTCAGGTTCTGACTCACTCAGACTTTCTTTACAAAAAAACATTTTGGGCTTTCTCAGACTCAAGTTTAACAAATTATCGCTCACTAGGGCTCCCTCAAACTTAGATACGATCCTATTTGAGTGTCAATTAGTCCGTGGGAGTGGACTCCTGAGTCCATTGGCATAGAAGTACCT